GGCCCCTCCCGAATTTGGAAGGGCCACAAACGAGGTATCGTCGACTTTATGCAGGCGTTCTGAGAAGCATGGTGCTGTATGGCGCCCCAATCTGGACGGACGCACTCAACAAGAGGGAGAATGCTGCCCTTATGCGCAGGCCCCAGCGGGCCATAGCGCAGAAAGTCGCAAGTATCTACCGTACGGTAGGGCACGCTGTGGCGTGCGTCCTCGCTGGTACTCCTCCTTTGGGAGCTAGAAGCTGGGGTCTTGTCTGTCATCTGTCATCTATCAATGGATGGCAGACCAGAAGGCGCGTGGAAAACGCCCGGCCCCGGAGCGGCGCGGCGCCGTCAGGCAGGAAGAGCGCGAGATCATGATCGCCCGCAGGAAGGAAGACATGACTTGCGCGCAGTTTGGCTGCCGCACTCTGGACGCCATTGGTCCTGTTCTGGACCAATGGTTGGAACGACCGCACGGGTTCCTCACGTTCCGTCTGGCGCAAGTGCTGACCGATGGCTGCTTCTGCTGCGGCCAGCAGGCCGGGGGTGCGGGGGCACCCTTGTCACCTCCGTCTGACGGGAACGGCTTGGCGTTTCGCGCCATTCCCGTGGGACCCCCACAAGGGGGGCGTCTAGGGTCCACCGTGTAGGCGAGATGTCGCCGGTGGTGTCGCGGAAGTCTAAGGTTACGGCCCGATACTATAAAATAAAGCATTTCCTCCGCGACAAAAAAGGGGGGCCCGGAACGAGCTGTGCCTAGGGGCCCCGAGATGGTTAATCCGGCCCTGGGTATACCCACTAAAACCTCCGCGTCGTTCCGTCATCGCCCGAGTGGGGGTGTCGCGAGTATCCGGCCGTAGCCTTAGACTTCCGCGACACGTCTCCCGCTGCCGTTCCCAACTCAGGCCAACCCGCTGGTCCCGGCTCAGGATAATTTGCCCCATAATTAGCACTCGTCGCGTTCAACAAAACGTCTCGTTCCCGTTTGTACCCACTTTTATTTATAACCGCGCTTATCTCAACAGCCTTCTTGACCTCTTTGTTATGGAGGATAGAATTAACCGTAGTAATTTAATTGCGTTACAGTTTCAAAGACATTTTATTTTGTGATGAGAAAATCCTGTTTCAGGGTTTTTTCGGAAACATTTCCTCACAATCTGAAACAGATAATAAACTTAAAAATACAAATAGCAATTGACGTTTGACCTCATTACAATGGAACTCTACCAACACTACCAGACATTAAAATCTTGGCTGATCTCTTTTAAATCATTTGACATGTCATTTTTGGTATGTCAGTGTAAAGAAACGGTAGACAGAAAATTTAACAGTGAACTTAGATTGATCACTACTCTAAAAGTAATCAAGTACTTAATTAAGTTTCGTTTGTTTTCCTCTTTAGTAATACATTTTCGCATTACAGTGTTTTTATGTGAATGTGAAAATGATTTAAAAAATACGTTATCTAAAAATGTTTGCAACAACAATATTTTTTTCCAGAAACATTGTTTATCTTTGATAAGATTCTTATATTCAATCAAAATATCAATACTACAACTAATCATCGTTTTAATTAGAAAATTATTGTAGCTATGATTATTATTATCTCTTTGGTAAAGGTAAATAAGAATAATAAATAGCTATATTATGATGTAAAAAGTTTTAATAGATTCTGAACAGATAAAAAGAATTAAAATAACGTACATTATAATAGGTTAATAATATCCTAAATAATGTAATAATAATAACATGACGTAGTCAGAGACTAGATCCAGCATGTGCACCACTTTCACTTTTGTCGATTATTTTGCGCTTAAAACGGCCTTTACGTGTTGGATCTGTATCCCTACGCAAGCCTTATAAAGGACCGGGCCACTTTTGACCCGTGAGCTCCAAAGCGTACAAACATAATAGATAATAATAATACCAACGTAGAACATGCCGAATAGTTCGTCGTTTCCTTCAGGATGAGCCTGCCACTTCTGCTGGCCCATCGTAATAAAAACACTTACTTATTATAGATCAGGTACTTGGCAATGCCCGTAGCTGATCTTTAATTTTCCAGCTTTTATGCTGAGGTGGAAAAAGCACAAAATAAAATAGATTGCTGTTATAAATGAGTTTCCTGCCCTGTAACCCTGCTAGGTATAAATAATGCCCTCCCTTATTACCTGTAGTTGAAAAAGTTCAACCTGGCCATCGTTCAACGGTTAAAAATACAGAAAGCTTATTTTATTGCCTGCCGGTAGCCGAGGTAGGGATGAGACAAACATCGATATTCGACCGTGGTAACGGAAAGACAATTATATCGATATTATGTCATTAATTTATCTTTTGATACACCTATCTTATTAACATTGATACCTAATTACATTATCGTAGATTCAACTCTCAATTTCTGATTTTCAAGGTAAGCAATAGAATATGAAATTAAACACTATTAGTACCTACTCTAGAGGTAGATAATTAATTATACAACTTAATAAAATAGTTTTATTAGTAACTAGCTGTGCCTGTGCATCAATCATCGTGGAAAATCACATCGTAATTTTTCTTATGTTTCCTCACCGTTTAAACCTTCCCTGGACTACAACCATTATTTAAAAACCAAAATCAGCCAAATCGGTCCAGCCATTCTCGAGTTTTAGTGAGACTAACGAACACCAATTCATTTTTATGATATTGTAGATTAAATAAAATATACCTATAAATCAAAAACTTATATTGAACATAAATATTATAACAGTGTTAACTAAATTCACTAATCGATTCTCAAATCTATAATTTCGTAACTTACCTATCGATCATGAAACTTCCAGCATCCCTACCGTATCTCAAGTTTGCTTGCGTAGTATAAATTACAATAATTAACAGAGCTCAGCAACGAAGATGTTTAGAGTATGTAAATAAAACGGGGCTTTGAATAACATTTGTGTGCATTGGATAGATCGATTATGTTGGAAAATGATGAGGAAATACCTTTGAATAGGAAAGAAATTATTTAACCCGACCGACGCCGCTCTTTCAAATAGTTGCTTATCAAATAGAAATACGGGTATTTTATTAAATTTTTGTTTGTTTTATAAGGGAGGTAAACCTTCCTTGGATATTACAGATGTAGAAAGAAATATTCAGCCAGTTAGGTGCAAGTTTCAGCTTCGCCTAATTATTTAGCGATTCGTGAAAATGTAGAGTCATAGAAATTGGACGTGTAGTGATAATTAGACTTGAAACTAAACTACTAGTCAACTAAGATAAAGCCTTAACACTAGAAAGGCCGCCGTCCCATTTTTGTCCCACTCGCGAGTTTGATCGTCTCTAACTTTTTTATTTTTCAACGAAAGTCCATGAAACTTTTTGACTTTTCCTGATTTATTGAATTTTATAATTTTTTAATGTTTTTGATAATATAACTTTATTAGAAAAAAAATTAAAATCGGTTTTACCTAGAAGCGCCACTGGGTCATTTTTGTCCCACCTTGGTATTTGCAACAATAATTCGATGAAGAGTCCTTGTTTCGAGGAAATACGAGAATGGGGAGGTGAGGAACGTTTAGGTTTCTCGTCACAATGCAGAAATGTAAATATATTGTACTAGTTTTTGCCTGTAACTTCACCTAGTAAGAAATTAAGTTTATCATAGAAAGACCTAATTTATTGACACTTATCGTTGTTATTTGACCAAATAACGGAATATTATTGTTAATTATAGACTATACTATGTTATTCTAAAATATTAACAATAAAACTGCAAAGTTTTATTAAGATCGGCTTAGTATTTTTTGCGTAAAAGAGTGAAAAAACAACAATCGATCTAACCATGAATCCACACTCACTTAGTTCAAGTTCAAGGCTTATATCCACCCATTCATACTTCCTATCCGTTCATCGGTTCATCCATCTATCAATTCATCAATCTTTATTAACTTTTACATTTATAATATTAGTAGGAAGGTGACTTCAAGACATGGGCCAGTTCATACATTGTATGATTTGATACATTTTTAAAATGTGTGACTTATATATTTTTTTTAAATTAAACGTACATACTTTTCATTGTAACTGGTAAAAAACTTCACTGTGTGTGTACGGATAACAGAAAAATAACCATACCTATAGAAGTTCCTAAACACATAGTAGACCAGAGAGACAAAAAAACCGTACAAAAAATCTTTGTGCAAAATGTGCACTATTATTAATTTGTAAGATATTTATTATTTATTCAAAAAGAATAATGAATAATTATGTAGTTAAATTAGTAATTTCATAATTTTAATACAGTATAACACCATGTAATATGTGACTATTTTTATATGAAACCAAAAATATCTGTCTATAATTAATTCAAAATTAAAATTGAATACATTTATAATTTTAAAGAAATAAGTGCATATTGATTTAACTGTATAGATAAACCATTTTTTAAGGATACTACAAATAGTTTTAACCATAATGTTCATGCCTGAAACTAAAAAATGTTACAAAATATATGCTGGGACAAAATTGACCCAGCGGCGCTTTTAGGGGGGTCGTAATCTTCGGCACTTCTAGTGTTAAAGAGATCTATTCAAGTAAAGTCCTGAAAATAGTAAGAAAGCTTTTCAGTAGAAAATTGCTAAGCTACTCGTAAAGTTACAAGAATCATTTCTTCTTGAAAATCGTGCAAAATGATAGCCATAAAATCTATATTTAGCTGCTGCTGTCTTTCAGCCTCTCAGTTAAATAAGTTTAGTAATTTTGTGTTACATTACTGTATTCGATAAGTAGTCACTTTATTTATTATTATTAAAGTTTTATGGGTCTATCTTCACAAAATTTCACACAAAAAAGTTATTGGTTTTAGATGTACAAGCGAATAGACCATGATATCAAGATACAAGCAGATGATTTTGGGAACTACAAGACTGTATTTTACAAACTCAATATATTAAGTGAAGTAAATCTTAAGCAACCTTGTCATTTTACCAACGATCAAGCTTGTAGGGATTTAAGTAAAACCAAACCAAAATTTTATATTACGTTATTATATTACATCATAACAATAATCATAAGTTTTTAAACATACATACATTACATATTCGCACCAAACACATTATATCACAATAAATACATCAGTCTATCACTTTAGTAGCTAGTCTTGCCGAAGAGGAAGTTGCCGGGGGCACTTGCATCCTCAGCAGTGAAGTACTCTATGAAAAGCTTCTCAAATTCCGCCCATGAGATGCTGCTCTTTCCACCAGCCAGCTTCTTGAAGGCCTCGACAGCCTCTGCCTTGTCCCCACCGAAGGAAGCGAGGACAGTCGAGAACTCCTCGCCGTCAATAGATCCGTCGTTGGATCCATCCTCCAATTGGAAGACGAAACGCGCGTACAAGCTCTGCCACTCAGGAGCACCTGATGGGTTCTTAGCGTAGCTATCCCAAACGCCGACCCATTCGTCGACCGACACTTCACCGTCCTTGTTAGCGTCAGCTCCCTGCAGACCCTCCCACAGCTGGTTCAGAGTATCTTCCAAGATCTTGTAAGTCGGCTCCCCGGACTTCCATCCTCGCAACTTGGCGATCTGTTCTTTCGCCAGATCAAAGTCTTTCTTGTCGATTGTTCCGCTCTTGTTGGTGTCGAAGAACACCGTGAAGACGTAGGAGTACTTCTTCTTCCTGAAGTCTGAGACCATTTTGTATGACTGCGGAGTGCTCAATGGCTCCTCGGGGTTGGCGCCGCCCGTTTTATACCGGCATTAAGACTGCATTTCATTGATAGCTGTTATCAGCGAGCCGCGGGCCTGTCGCGAAAGTTGACGTGTTTACGGCAGCGCTATCATGCTGCATTGCGGGCCGGCTCTGATTTCATTGTTTACTCTAGTCTTGCACTAATTCTTAGTCACACAGCGACGGGACTCGTGAAATCGTTGATATACAAAATCGTTGATATAAAAATACCTACACGGCTTTTTGTATTTAAAGGATTACAATGCAGTTTTTGTAGAGTGTTTCTACTAAGTAATTCCTTTATCAAAGCCTATTTGAAACTTGTTCAAATAAAATATAATCTTTATATATATCACAGCATTTACGTAATTAAAATTTATTTACTCACTTCTTATAACTTTATGATAGTTTTTAATTTAATGTCTGCCATAAATTGTACCTAACACTAATTAAATTGGCTTTAAGTCTAGCACCTAAACATCATTTTGATTCATTTTTAGACTTCCTAAAACTTTGACATAGAACTGTCTCAGCTTGAAACAGTTCCCGTAGAAGCGCCCGTCCCGGAATAAATATTATGCCAAAGTTTCAGAACGGACCGGGAACTGGGATCCCGGCAAAGTTGCCCCGCGGGAATACCGCTATGTTTTCTTACACACAACACTGCGAGCGTTCTTGTATGAAGGCTACGTATGATTGTGAACTTCTACGTGGTGAAATTTACTGTACAGTTTCTCTAAATGTTTCTAGGTGCATATTTGTAACTTTGCTCTTAGCATACCCACCTAAAGCCTGGTCCGTGTGCACCTAGAATCCCGTCCAATGACCCCAAGCTGCCCATCCTTGTCGCTCGCACGTAATTATGTTGCTGTCGCGCTCACACACTCACTGCGGGCGCGCGTCGCACAGTCGCGACAGCAATATAATTACGCGCGAGCGATAAGGATGGGTAGCTTGGGGTCATTGAACGGGATTCTACGTGCTTCGTGCTCACGGACCAGGCTTTAGTTAATAAAATTTACAACAACTAAATATATTCTTACTCCGGGAACCTACATCCTACTGAACTTAGTATTTTGAACTACGCTCCTAATAATACATGCTAAATAACGATCCACTGAGCAGTTTCTATTATTTTGTTTAAAATGTGAGTCACCTAGGAGTGTCCTACTATAGCATCAGCTTGACAACAAGATAACCATTACAATGTCTACAGTAATAATTTGATGATATAGCACAGTACAACATGCCTCATGCACTATAGCTCATCATACAACGTACCTAATGCGCGCTCCGTGCTTTCCGTGACACTAACCGAATCTCTTGGCTGAACACACTAGTAGAACATCAAGTAAATATATTACTTGTGCCTATGTAAATAATTGTTTGCATAAATTGAATAAACATTAGAAAGTAAGACCGTGCTACATAACGAGTAAAAATAAATTTGAGTAGTTAATATTATTTTGTTTTAATGGCTAGGTTATCAAACGTATGCTGTAAAACTAAACATTATTTAACAATTTTGAAGGTCAAAATTGTTAAGAATAAATTATTCAGTGAAAATTTCATATGAGATTTTCTGTCAAAATTTTTAGGAAATCTAATATCATTGAGTGATTAATGCTTTACTTAGGTCTTAAATGATAAGTGTGATTGCTTTGCACGTCCTAACTTAATCGTCTAATCTGAGTGACGCACACTTGGTCATGATAATTATAAAGCATAATAAGACGATAAATGATAAAGGTTAAGGCTAAGGATATATGATTAAGGCCAGAAGTACACACGACAACTTTAAAAGCAATTCAATTTTTAACCGACTTCAACAAAGGAGGTGGTTCTCAATTCTTTGTTTAAAAGATCGTACGTACGTCACTCATAAGCCATACATCTACTCGTATTTATAACATCATTATACATGTCAAGCTACAGATTGATTTGTAATTTATCGAATTACAAGGTACACTTCTTCGAAAAATTATTATAGGGGGTCTTATAAGCAGTATATTCCGACAAATTCGATAATCCGACATGGCCTTGCAGTTCCTGAAGTCTAAGTCCACTTTCTAGTGATTCTATTGAAAACATATTATTATATCTTATTGCCAGTTGCTGCAACTAAAGTGAACAGTTGCTCCGTGCGCTTCACGCCTAAGCTGCACTCAGACGCGGATCGACTCAGAATGGCAGACAATTCGGCAAATGAGTCGGCTAAGATGGCCCGCTGTTAGCCGTCTCTTTTATAGCATTAGACTATGCCCTGGATGTGAGAACATAATGGATCTGTCCGTCCATCAAATATTAAAGAAACAAACTAGATTCTACTCTCTTCACGTTGTAGGTACTATTCATAATTCATATCGAAGATAGTATCGTGCATAATATTTGTTTTGTAGAAGGCGATACATGATCCAATTCATCATCATCGTTTCAGCCACAAAAGATCCACAGCTGAACCAATGATTTCCAGACTGGACAATTGATAGCTCAGTGGTAATCGATAGGAGATTCAGTTATAAATAAAATATGATTCATAAACCTGTACTTTGCTTATGGTAAACACATTTAGGTGTGCAATCAGTAACCGGTTTCGCAAATATGGGTGCAGCTGTTTATGTCGTTGTAAATATTTTTAGAAAAGGTGACTTTTCGCAAGGTCAAATTTATTTATTTACATAACACATTATTTAATAGTATGTACTAGTACTAAGTACTAACTATAGTTCGATATCTTTGTTCAATAGTTCAGCAAATGTGTATGTGTGTAGGGACTTCTAGGTTTCTTGAATAAGCAACTCAAGTAGACTGGTAGATAACAGGTTTACTATTAAATATTTAAGTAGATACAGAGCAATGGAAGTAGAAACCGCGACAGTATGGATTCGTAAGCAAAAGAGAAGGGCCCCGCGCGGCGCGCAAACGTTTATATATTGTAGCCCCCGCTCGTGCCCCCACCATCCTGGGAGGCGCTGAATGCGTGGGGCGCGACCATCTTAGATAGTGTAATACCAGCTCTACTTTAGTGCTAGATACAGTCAGGTCAGATAAATAATCTTTCTTTTGAATCTGAACAACGTCCACTGCTAGCCTTCCCCGGATTTTCATAATGAAGGCGCTGCCTGCATCCAGGTGCTTCCTGCAACCTTCAAAAAGTCGTCTGCCCTTACGCATAATATGATAATTAGTAAAACAAAGATACAAATAAACAAAATTCAGTCGTTTCATACATTCATGGCTGCAGGGCGGGCGTGTTAGGCGGGCGGCGCCGCGTGACGAACGCAGCGCGTCCGTCACGCTCCCGTGATCGGCTATCTATCCCGCACTATCCTGCTTAATGTGGCAATGCTGCTGCAGCTGGATAACTTGGTTAATGGTAATTGAATCGCAGTTTAGCTGTGAGCTTAGTATAATACATTTTTTGAATTATGATGTAGATTTAAGTCCGTATCCTATCCGCGCTCATTGATGATTGATTATCACTGATCAACATGGAAAGCATTGGAGGAGGCCTATGTTCAGCAGTGGACGTCCTATGGCTGAAATGATGATAATGATGATGATGATCCTATCCGTGTAGTCCAAAACCTCCATTTACTCGTAGCTCTGGTAAAGAGCGAGTCGCACGCACTCCTGCAGAGTAAACCAAAATGACCTGACAATGATGAAGAATACGACGCATAAAATAACCCGACTGAAAGTTGACTAGCGTTATACAATACCTACATTATTGCAAACTATTGCAATTGACACACACACACACACACACAAGGTGGACCGACGACACCATAAAGGTAGCAGAGAAGCGCTGGACGCAGGACGTTGCCAATCGATCAACATGGAAAGCATTGAAGCCTATTTTCAGCAGTGGGCGTGAAATGATGATGATGATGATGATGGTTGCAATTGATGGCAGATAATAAATCTCGGGAAGTTTTATAAATACAAAGATAAAGGTAAACAAGTACAATAACAGACTGTTTTTCTTAACGCGACTTTGTTTTTTACATCTCCCTAAAACCCTACAAACGCTCCTGCGAGGACAGTGTAAGAAAACTGCGAAATTAAACTCGGCTATAGCACGGAGGGCTGAGGAGTGATTCCCTCCGGCCGGGCCTAAGTCCCACAAAGGAGGTGTCCTTTGTTTCTGTCCTGATGTATTGCGCGCGCCGCGCGGCCGACGGCTTTGATCGGGAACATACTGCAATTGAACAGAGGAGGTACGCCCTCGAGGAGTTTAAATGAAAAATAAAGGATGATTACTTAGTAAGTACCTAATGCTAGTTACACGTCCGTTTCCTATTACATAAAGACAACTTAACTGAGGAATTAATATGTGTACCTATCACTCAGGTAGTCTCCGCTGTAGTAGCATGTCCGTCTCTATTTTCATCGTCATCATAATTTCAGCCACAGGCCGTCCACTGCTGAACATGGCCTGCCCCAATGATTTCCGTTTTTAGGTGGTACCTACCGGGCGTAGCGGCCTATCTCTGTCTCTATTTTAAAATAGACAAATTGAGTAAGGCTGAAAAATTGCGATAATTTATTGACGTATTCACAATGCACGTGCAAAGTTTCAAAATAAAATGTAGCGTACCATTTTCCATGATTTCCTGGTTTTGGTAAAATTAGGAGAGCTTTAACACTTTTACGTAAAATACTTGCAAGAATTTTTAACTGTTTTGTACCCTGTGCGGGTACCGGGTAAGACCGGGCCTTCTGCACCTTCCTATTCCATACTAAGACGTACGACTAAAAATGCCAGATCAAATCTCAGCGGCCAAATATCAAACAGATTTTCGCGAAAATAATTTATGTTATCCCTTTCTTACACACGGATACTGGGAGCTTACAGTATAGCGAACATACAGTACAGTTTACCTACAACGTACAACCAATAGAAATTATTTTATTACCTAGCTACAATACTTTAAGAATTACATACACCACACCCTAGTGTATTATGTTAGTTTGATTGAAAAACCAAAACATTTTATTACAA